ACATTGTACATATTTCATTGGACATGTTAGATAAATTTGTCCACCATAATCACCTTCAAATATAAGAACACAATTTTCTGTTGTTTTAGCATCATTAAAGTTTTTTATTGCTTCATATTCTTCTCCATGTGCAGAGCTAATCATTGACCGCATTGGACTTGAATGATCATCGGACATTTTCGAAAAATAAAATTGAGAAAATCTGAAAAGAAAGCAAGCTTTATACACAATAATGTATTTTTAAAAAGAATTTCAATTTGTAATTATGTTCACAAAATATTTTGTGGTTTTTCGCAAATACTTTCTTTAAAAATATTGTCACAATCATAGACGAAGTTTACCAAATATGATTTTCTTTTTAATAGAACTTAAGGGATGAATTGATGAATCAATAAGCTCAAGCGTTAATTTAAAAAAACTGAGATAAAGTTCAACTATGTGTTCATACTATTAATAACAAAGACTCGAAAACAAATTTCTACACATAATACAAAAATTTATGATGATCAAAACAAATCTATTGAGAGAACGAAAAATATTTGAATTATCTTATCTGACTCGAGTTAATAGAATTTATTGTTAACTGATAAAGTTGAATAAGAGTATTGCATCAGCCGATAAAAATCCAGTGTTGGTTGCTCGACAAAGAATAACATTTACGAGAGATAACAACAATGGCACAAATACAGAGTGGGGAGAATCTAACCCAAAACAAACGAATAAAGGAAAGAATGGTGAGTCATTCATTCACATAGGTCCAATTTCAACAAGTGAAATGAGAAAAGAGAGAGAGGACGCTCTTTTATAGATGTACATCACTTTTATGTGAAGAGAAAAAGTGACAAAGTGGAAGAATATGAAGCAATAAAAAACTTTAATGATGCTAAAACAACAGAAAATTGTGTTCTTATATTTGAAGGTGATTATGGTGGACAAATTTATCTAACATGTCCAATGAAATATGTACAATGTAATGAACAGATATTAAAACAATTATTAAATGATATTGATAAACTTCAATGGGATGATGAAGAAGGATGTAGAATGTATTATGAAATACACAAAATTGGTGATGATATTATCGGTGGAATGAGCGGTGGTCACGTCAATGATCATCTATGGATTCATGATGAAATAAATACGGAAATAAAACAACAAATACAAGATGTTATTGATGGAAAAAAAGAAAAAATTTATATTTGAAAACTGAAACTATTTTTAATTTCTAATATCATAATCACATTTTTTTCTTATTATCATATCATAAACAAGAGAGTGTTTCCACGCAGTTTTTCCCAGATTTACATCGACTTTCTCTCGTCCACTTTTGACTATGCTAGTCTTGCAGCTCTCGTCGAGCTACGTAGGACTCGATAGACATAAGGGCACACTATGTCAGCTCAGTGACTGTGGTTGAGAAACAGGCATCTAAATGGGAGAAGATTTTGTACAGTTAAGGGACTCAATGGAGCGCCTCGATCCACGCTATTTGTAAGTATACTTCTTTGTCTGAGCTATGTTTATTTGAGAGTGAGAGTGTAAAAGAAAAGAAAAAAGATTTACGTATCGTAATGTATGTATTGTAATTCTATGGGATCTCCTCAACAAAATAAGCACAACCCAGAGAAAGAAATATACTTATTGATCAACTCACTATATTCACTCTTTTCGTGAGAGAATGTGAGGGGAAAACTTCATAAACTAGAATTACTATAGGTACATGACGATACATAAAATATTTTATTTTCCTTTACACCCTCATCCTCAAGAACTGATTAAACTAAATGTACAGCGGACTGATAATCATTATCGTTTCTAATGATTAGTCGTATTCCAACATCATAATCATATAAAAGCAGTGCCATGCACAGCACAGCGAATTAGCTTTTTTTTCTGCTATTGTTCATTTATTGTTGTTGTTAGTAAAGAATATCTTCATGTCGTATTCATATAATTGCTTCGAAGCGTTTTTGTGAGCGATTGTTCACGCGAGCAACTGTGCTGGGCTTTCATAGAATGTGATCAGCTTTTTCAAGGTATGTGTTTTGGTAATGCTATGGCACAAACAGAAACTGCAACTATTTATTTCTGTAGGTAAGAGTAAATTTTTCCATGACTTTCTGTCGAAAGTCTAGGACTGAATTGGCGAAAATCACATGAGCAAAGAGTGGGAAACCCGTTTGTCCGAGGTTATCCTGTGAAGATTTTCCAAATCTGGCCCATCCACTGGCTAATACGTAGCTGGTGGTTTTCTTGAAATAAATAGTGTGATTCTAGCACTTCAGTGCCCATTTCTCATTCTATTATTCATCCGGAAGTAGTCAGCTGTCGAGAGTTACAAAATATATCTTTTCCAATGATTAGGACAAAAATAAAGCAGTACGTAGAAGTGTTACTCATACATACCGTTGAAATACGATTGAAATCGCATCATACGCGTTGGTTTCTACTAAAGGCCCTTCTTTATGTTATATCTCATTTGAATGAATGCGAACAAAAAACAAAAGAATCCATATACTGGATAACAAAGGAAAAGAAAAGAAAAAGGACGTAATGGAATAGCAACAAGCACACACTATATAGAGAGGCACGCGATGGTATGCGTTGTTCTGTGTAACAGTTTCTATGTGCTGAGTATACGTGATATTTTAAACTGTACTATTTGAAAGACAGTGAAAGAAAAAATTGAATCTTTCCGTTGATTGAAACTTGATACTACGTTTAATCATGATTGATACGAGCCCTTTGCAAGATATGATGTCCATTCAGCAAAAAACATTTAAGTGAGCGACTTTTTCAGCGAAAAAAATGTATGAAGTACAAATAACGAAGGTCCTCAACCCCAGACTTGGCCATAAACAGTCATAACCTTGTCATTTACGTTGGAAGACGATGTCTGTTTACGATCATCGTTTCCAGTGGCCGTAACGAATTACCGTTTACGACTATCACAGCAACATGGCACCCGTTTCTAGCCAACTTATATAATATTTCACGACATTCTCGACTATCGTGAACCATTATTTACGTTCACATACTACCTTCATTGAATGCACTGTCAAGACAGAAAAATAAATCTTTTATCAATCGCAGAAATCAATAGAGACGTTGCTACACATGTTGATTTCTCACATTTGTCATGTCTTCTTTTTATCTCTCTGTTGCAAAAGCACTGTCAGATATTCGTTGAGAGACAATAAAAATTATTGAAGACTCTTACAAATATTATGAATACGACAAGGCATCATCTAAAGCAAGGTTATTTTAGAAGAGTATGCAAAATTATTACGAACCAAGAAAATTATCAAAATCAGTGGAAGTAATGGTAGCAATAGAAATCCGAAGAAATCGCGATACTTCAATAATTTCGATTGATTTCTGTTAATTTTAGACCAGCGTTCCAAATAGCAAGTGTACCAAGCAGAATCAAAATGTACGAAACCCTTGCTACATCCAATGTGCACGCTGTTTTACACGTTGCTGACAGAATCAGTGTGTACGCGGTACACTTTGTCTACAAAACTAAGACTTTATTTTCGGACCGATGAATCTAGGTGCGGCGCGAGTGAAAGGTATTAGGAGAAGGTATCTCCCTGCTTTTGAATGTTGTACGACAGTCCACGGCATAGCTGCGACAGACTACGATAGGTTATTTAGATATAATTCAAGTATGATATCGTCACGACAAAGATAGTGATGTGTCAAAAGTGAAAAAGGGAGATAATATCATAGTTCAGTGTTATCTTACGATAGATGGCTAGGAACACAAGATGTACAACAAAACACTTTGCTAACTACAGAAGTCTAAAGACAGGTCACTACCGACAGAGGTCACAGAACAGAGTAGTTAGGTGAGAGGAAATATAACAGATTACATCGAAAACATTAATTTCGACATAAATATCAAGAGAGACTGCAGATAGAACACAATCAAAAGCTAGCAAAATGCGATGGAGCGCAGAACTAAAACTGATTTTCTTTGTTTTTTTTAGTTAAAAGATATTTAAACTATTGTTACCAGTGTTGCTGTTGGATGTGTATTGATGTTTGATGCAATTGACCTGTTTTATATGTGGTAGTTTTGCATTGAAGTTTTGCTATGTATCGGAAGAAAGAGGTTGTCATCTAAAAAAAACGAACAATATTTATTGTTAGTGAGAGAGTAAATGATTGATTATAGAGGAAAGTGTTTTTATTTATAAAGACTGAAGAATAACAGTAAAATATTTAATAGTGACAACAACTCTAGTTGTGGTTTGAAAACCTAAACTACTCTACATAGAATAGCGAATTTTGCGGGCTACAAAATGATATATATAATATTGAGAGCAAATGGGGCGTGGGTGTCCTAACACAAGAAATACTAGACTCCACCTCCACAAATCCATAGGTCAGCAGCGTTTATCTCTTATATTGTCCAACCAGTTTATCGTTAACCACGTGAAAAATCATTATAAACAGCCAGAACATATATTGTCTTACTATGAGACTCTTAAACAAGGTCGAAACGCGTCACGGTATAGCTTTTGACTCACATTCTCACACCGTTTGTTAATGTTGTCGAAGATATATAATTTATAGAAAGCAATCATTTATTTTAAAATTAAGATAAGTAAAAATATTCCAGCGAATCAAAGAATGGTAACTGTTTATCAGTTAGTGTTGTCTTTTCTAATACTTTTCGTGTATCGAATTGAACTCTCAACATATATCTTATTATTTTGAGTGTTGCACCAGTATTAGTTTGAATCAGATAAAGTACTTCCCTCTTGACTGGATTCCATACATCTCTAACCGTTTCAACCTGTTTTCCGTTAGTTTTCAATAATAATTTTAGATTTTGATTTCTATAAGGAAATTTTCCATTTTGCTTTCGATCTAAATGAAACATGTATATATCAGACAGGCTCGAACCATTCTGCCATGTACAAAGAATCAATTTTGTCTTTTGAATATCATATGTCATCGTAACAAAATAATATGCATGTGGCATAAGATGAAAATCAGTAACAATATCTTCTTTTTTACCAACTAAATTTAAATCCATTTTAATCCAATAAGAATTATAAGATGAATTGTCAAAACGAGTTCGTACTTGTATAATCCAGTTTTGATTATAATCAAACGAAGTACATCTTCCATTAATAAAAGCATATTTTCCAACATCTTGTTATGTGTATAGTTTAACAGTATCTAATGTTTCTATATCATATTCTTCAATGTTATATGTAAATGTAGTATTAGTTCTTAAACCAAAAAGTCGTTTTCTTAAAGGATTGTAAAAAAGAAAACAAAAGTTACCATCATTATACACCCAACGACTTTGATGATATGTTTTGGTTTTATAATTATAAGCGATTAAAAGAAGACGTTTGAAAGCATTACCACTAGTAATAGGCAGATAAATATAACTTAAATTTGTATTCACAACTGTAGGACCACCAATAAAATAGTACACATCTGAACGATCATGTACATCAAAAGTAAAATTACCGATAAAAGAAAGTCTTTTTAACTTTGTACCAAAGACAGAAAAGTTACCATAGTGTGGAAAAACACTAGAACTGAAAGAAGAAACTTTCTTTTTTTTTTTGTATAATATCACTTATAATGAACTTTATTTAGAATATTTTCCCAGTTTCTCCTCTTTGCCCAAAGAAAACCCAAACTACTGTACATCATTCAATAGAGAATTTCGCGGGCTACAAAATGATATATATAATATTGAGAGCAAATGAGGCGTGGGTGTCCTAACACAAGAAATACTAAGCCCCACCTCCACAATTCCATAGGTCAGCAGCGTTTATCTCTTATATTGTCCAACCAGTTTATCGTTAACCACGTGAAAAATCATTATAAACAGCCAGAACATATCTTGTTTTACTCAGAATTGTATGCTCTATTAGGCTATGTGGCATGAAAAATTTTCTGACAAAAGAAGAAGGACTTGGTTTTCTAGCGGACAGGTTTTCCAGGAACCCTATTATCAACTTTTCTCATTAAACGACAATATGCACCACATCTAATAGAAAAATGTTCGGCCTATTCAAAACAGTATTTACATTGGTTTTAGCTGTTGCCAAAATATCAAAAACAAAGGAGTTCTTGTGATAATGGCACAGTACTACATAGATAATACCCCAACTCTTCTTTTCCATATCTTTAATGACTGGACCCACGTTTTTGGACGTTCTGATCTGTTC